AATTTGTAATATTCTCTTTAAGAAAAGAGTGTTCTCAAGAATTGGGGTATATTCTTGAGGGAATTGTAAGGTTATCTCTTTGGCCTCAAAAGAAAGAACAAATTAGTGAATTTGTTGGAAAATCCTTAGTGTGGATAGCTAAGGTAGTGGACGTAGACTTTGGTTGATAAAGTCGAACCACTGTAAATCGCTGTGCAATTACTTTCAATCTTCTGCAAAAGCTTCCACCAAAATTTTTATTGCCAATTCACCCCCCCTCTTAGCCGATTCCATCGATCGATTAACTCAACAAACTTGTCGAGGCGGAATGATAATGTTGATAAATGTCGAGGCAAAATTAAAATTTAGATATTTTTATACAAAAAACAATTGAGTTTATAATTCTTGTCGATGTTGGGGTGTTGTGGAATAATAATGTCGAGACAGACGTCTAAAGCGTTGTGGCCATTGCGGTTACTCAGGAGTATGGTACTCATCCTCCTCAATCATTGGGGGCATATCAGCTGGTGTTGTAAATATATGCCCACCACTATGCTCTCTCATTCCACCATTTTGCTCTATCATCCCTCCTGGAAACGTAGACTGACAAATAGTTGTATTTGACATCATAGATGCCATTTGCTCAAAGTCATACGTCGTTTCAACTATGAAAGAGTTTATGGGTGCATGAGGATGCATCAACTCCGAAATGTATGCTGGAACAGAAGAATCATCAAGCGGTTGTGTTGTTTCTGCTTCACATTGTTGAGATGAGCTCATACTTTCACTCGATATAAATTTATCAGATGTACCAATTTTTTTCTTATATTTTTAAAATGTTGCATTTCTCCCAACATTATCAGGTATGTCTTTCAATGATCCCAATAATACTAAAGTTAAGTCGAAGTCTCAAAATTAAATTCATCACCTTGCATTGGATCAAGAAGTATATGAAGTTCTGTTGTTCCAAGCATTAATGTAGTTTGCGTGCTTCGTAACCCAATTCACGTTATGCTTACCTCGTCCATCTAATCTGTGCAAGGGGTAATGATCTCATGGAATGGACAGAATAGGTTGGTGGCACAATAACTACCTCAACACTCGATCCGCAAACAATATCTCAATAAAAGCAAAATGATTCAATGGTGTAACAGCACCCCAATTTTGAAAACCCTCCAAAAGCTCTTATGGCACGCTAAAACTTCTGGCTCCATGTACGACCTTCAATTAAACTGTAAAATTAACATTTATAAAAATTAATTAGACGCAAAATTATAAAATTATAAATAAATAAATAAATATTAATTTATATTTATATTATAAAATTAGGCATCCAAGAATTAATTCACTAGGCAAACTTATAAAATTACAAATAAAGAAATACATATTAATTAATTAATTAATTAATTAATTAAATTAATTAAATAGTATTATTATTATATTATATATTATAAAATATATATTCTTTTTGCTATAAATGTCAATCTTCAACCGAAACTCTTTGACATTATTATGCACTAGCTCCGTCCTTTCTATTTTATGTCTCCATCTGTAAATAAAAAAATATTCATTTCTTCTTTTTAATCACAATAAATAAATTTTAATTAAAAATTTAAATTAAAATAGGGAAAAGAAATATTACCTTCCGGCAAGAGGAAAGTCAATCGTTTTTCGACTAATCACAATGAAAGTCTGTGCCAAGCCCAAGATTATAGCAACATCAGATATCCACTGATTTCTGTTGTATTAATATTATTGACGATTACTGAAGCCTTGCACATCTCACAGTACAAGAACGACAATATCGCATATCCCCAACTGTACTGACTTGTATCCCCAAAATTTCTCAGAAACGGGAGATACTGCGTGTGAACCACATTATCGGATTTATCCGGCATCAAAACTTCCCCAATCAACTGCAAGATATATGCTCGAGTTGCATATACAATTTTTTCTTGGATATTATTTTCTTGGAGTTTAAATTGATTCTCTAAACACGATAGCCTCAAACGACACCCTTTTAAATCTAGACTTACTACTGTCTGCCCAAGAAACTCATTACAAAGTTCTTCCACGGTTTTGTAATCATTTCTCATCACCATCGGCATCCCATTTGTTGGAATCTCGAGTTGGAAGGCCATATCTTCTAGGGTTATCGTGCATTCTCCGCACGAGAAATGAAATGTATGTGTTATGGCCTCCAACATTCAATCAATGCACTTATCAAACCCGAGACCAACTTATACTCTCGAACAAATGTAACATAATAAAATCCAGCCTCTTCCAGGTGATCTTCAATCAAAGGGTGTGACTTAGCGAGAATATTGATCCGATTACAGAGGACTCGCTGCTCGTCTTCCTACAATTATAATATTCATGAAATTAATCAATTAATCATAAAATAAACATTAATATTTATGATATTTAATAAATAAGTATAATATTTTATTAAATAATAACAACAACATCACTCCCAAATGGCTAGAAATATGTTGAACGTCAAGATGAAGTAGTTGATTTTGTTCTGCCATTTGAACGAATCTGCAGAGAAAATTTTATAGCATTAATAATTTAATAACACATAAAGTTGATGCTGCTCGGAGGTAAATGCTGCATAAAAAATAAATACTACTAACTACATCTAAGTATTCAACACAAATAAGAAACACATACAAGTTACATACAAAAGTAATATCTATCCATGCATCTAGTTTAAACGAATTAGTTTAGTAGATTAAATGTTGAATAATGACAATATTATAATGAATTCAATTTAAAAATAATCTACTAAGTAACTAATTTAATTTAATCTAAAAATAATCTACTAAGTAACTAATTTAATTTATGTGTTGATGCTGCTCGGAGGTAAATGCTGCATAAAAAACAAATACTACTAACTACATCTAAGTATTCAATACAAATAAGAAACACACACAAGTTACATACAAAAGCAATATCTATCCATGCGTCTAGTTTAAACGAATTAGTTTAGTAGATTAAATGTTGAATAATGACAATATTATAATGAATTCAATTTAAAAATAATCTACTACGTAACTAATTTAATTTAATCTAAAAATAATCTACTAAGTAACTAATTTAATTTAAATAAGTAAAAGTTCGTAAAAAAATAACAACGAAACATTACATTGTTTGAATCTTCTCCTTTAAAACCAATATACATTATATTTTTAAGTTAAATTCAAGATAATTTATTTTTAAACTAAATTTCATTCGAACTCAACAACATTAATTAATTAAATAATCACTTTAATAAATCGAACAAATTAAAATTTATTATCTATATTATTCATATTATTTTATAAATAATATAGATTTTAAAAAAGAAAACTAACAAGGTTAAATTTGTCAAATAATGTAGCACGGACCGACTTTAACTTTCTTTTCTTCTTATTCTTTCTTCCTCTTTTCTCTTATTTCTTTCCCTCCTGGTGTAACCCTCCCTCCCTACACCCCATATATATATATATATATATATATAACCCAACCCCAACCCCCAATCGTCCCTCCCTCCCACCATTATTGCTCATTATTGATGCCCTATGCAGGACGCAGTCTGCATGCATGGTAGTCTTCAAGTGGTTCGTTCACTGGCGTATGCATGGTTCACGAGTGTAGGGGGAGTTGCATGGATTTTCATGCGTCCTTCGTGGGGTGGGGGGAGTAACATGGATTTCCATGTGTCTTCCACAGGTTTTTGCTCAACGTGGCAGCAGCGCATGGGGTGGCAGCAGTTGCATGGGGCATGCAGGGGGCTCGCATTGATTTCCATGGGTCTTCGGGGGAAGACGCTGAGAAGGCACGGCGACTCTGACGGGATAGACGATGGGAAGGCACAACGAATCCGACTCTTTAGGGGAGACGCGATGACTACAGTGTGTCTCCGTTCAACACTATAACATTCATCCCATTCAAACAAATAGTTTCTCGTGTGCATTATTCTAACAATTATTTTTCTCCACCGCATTATTTGAAAATTTTAGCCGAACGTTTAACTCTTATTTTCAAATCTTCTTCAACAAAGATGGAATAAATTAGATAATCGGATGTGTTCTTTTACCTTTTTTTCCTGCAAGGGCGACATGCGTTTATTCACCCGCTTACCTCAATTCTCTTGATTTGTTATAGAAATAAAATTTTACTAGATCTCAGTATCGATCGAGAGCCAAAACATAATATTATAATTTGTATTATATTTTTAGTAAGATAAAAGAGAAATGATTACTTAAGATTGAACCTAAAGACTTAATGTAAATTAAAAAACTGAGGTGATGTCTTGAATTTTTGTCAGTCTTGTTTGGATACCTTAAATTAATAAGAGAGATAATTGTTTATAATGATTTTTTTTAAATATAATACTTTCATAATATATATATATATATATGAATAAGACAAAAATATATATTTTACATCAAAATACTTTTCAATTTTCTTTCTTTAGCTTTCTAAATAAAAATTTAACATTTTAAGGTAAACACAAAAGATAATCTATTATTCAACAGAAAAACACCTTATTCAAACATAAATAAAAAAATACCTTTGTCAGGTTGATCTTCACTCTGAAATTCAAATTTTCTTCGATTACTTACTCATTTTATTTTTCCTGAGATTTTATTTATGTCAACTCACATATACAAATTATATTGTTTAGATATATATATTTATCCTCAAAAATATTTCTAGATCCAACACTCTCTTCCGTAAGGTATATCAAATGGAGTATTTGATTGCTCGGTGTTATATTTGCTTTGCTGGCCTACTCTTTTGGTAGTTGAGGAGTGACTTCTACTTCAAATGCAGGGCATGGTATGGTATATTGGTATGGGGTAGCTTTAAAGGTGTTGGGGTAGTATGGGCAGGCCAACAAGATGTCCCCATCTAGTCATTATTCATTATCTTCTGCATTAACTAAAATCTGCAACACACAACATGGAACCTTACCTCTCTAAGAATCCTACTTTTTCACGTTTTCGCATAACAAAAAAACACCCCAAAAAAAACATTTCAGCTTTGCCTACATGAGCAAAGTTCTCCATTCACAAAACTTATACAACTCCTGTTTCAAACCAAACTCTTAATACCAAACTACTATACCGATAAAATAATTGAATTCATCTAGTAACACCTAGGATCGAATACAAAATTCCTCAAAAACGACGAACGCATACGCATAGCATGGCAAGTATTTGACTGATTCATGCCAAGCGTTCATCAAAATATAGACAAGTGGCTAAAGTGTAACAATGACATAGAATAAGTAGACAAGAAAATATATGCACTTAACCGAACCTGTATGTTACGATAACGACAATCGTAGCCCCCGTGGGTTAGGATTGAAATCAGTACTAGAATTAGAGATATATATAACCAATCAGTTCCTGCATCAATCACAAGCCGATTGTCAGAAATAGAACATAGAAGATAATCTATACATGAAACGGAATTTGTTCGTTTCGTGCCATTTAACTATAGACCTTATATGCCAGGGATAATACCACAAAGGAGGAACATTAAAGGAACAATCTTAATCTATCAAAAGTTTCTACTGCTGTTGCTTGTTTTAAAAAGATAGGGGTAACAACAAAGTAATGATGCCAGTATGACATGAAAATTCCAAGACTGCTTCAAAAAATATATCAAACTATACATCCTAATAAACTGAGAAAAATCAACAAAAGTATCGGCTAGACAAGCAAAAAGGCGAAGTTCATTGTGAATTTACAGAATTTAGAGCCTATATTTAAAAATAAATACACAATGTATAGAATACATTATAAGTCATGTAATTGCCATGAATAAACTATCAGACCTACCCACAACCAACCACAGTAAAATATGGTGATGATCTCACTCAAAACACAGCTGCTCAAAGTTTTAATATTTTGAGGCATATTCAGTTTTAACAAGCACTGAAAGTATCTATTGGGAGAAAATTGCTCAACAAACAAAGACAGATCAACTTGTAAAGTGATCCCGTTCATTGTTCCCCTGAATGGTACCGTCGCACTCATTGGGACTTCAATCGTTTTGGCACAAGTTTTTCAAAATGGATCAAAGGAAACAAAAGGATTGTGTATTGATTACCTATCAGCAGTCTTCAAATTAGTTGACGATGGATGGATTTGTGATAAAGATATTGGTGTCAAAGGAGGTGAGGCAAGATCTTGAGACATCCCTGAACTGTTGGCGGTTTCCAGAGGCTTGGACACAGGTAATGACATCACTCTGTGACCGAATGAGGGTATGGAGAAACTGCGAGTGACAACATCTGGAGGTTGCGGCAGTGGAGCGGCAGTTTTTGACACTTTTGATTTATTTGTAGCAGGGAGCACTTGACCTCTAGGCATTAAGGGACCTGAATAACCAACCAAGCCTGAAGGTCTTGAAGACTTGGAGGCTGAAGTGGCTGGGGGTCTAGGAAGTTCATGAAGCTCACTAATTTTAGGCGTGGACACAAATTTAGGGGAGGTATTTGGTGATGCTTTTGGAGATACTGCATGCACTTGAGACATTGGAGTTCTCAAGATTGGCCCAGAGAATAATTGGGGATGTTCCACTGAAACTGGCTTGTGAGGCCCTGGTTTACTTTTCAATGGACCCGAAAAGGCTTGCCTTTTAATTTTCTTGGAATCAGAAGCAGCCGTTGGACGAACTTGTGAAAATAAAACCTTATCAACCAAAGGAGGGGGCAGTTGAGTTGATGAAGCAGGATTATTGCTCTCTTTCAGTACTACCTGTGCATTTATAATAGCAGATCCAGATTTTTTTTCATCTCCCAAAATCCTCTCATATTTCTTAAGTTCAAGAGGAGATGAATGCCACAAATTGTTCGAATGCTCATTCAAACTTGACTTGAAAGATTGAGGAGCTGGATTACCTAATCCAATAGAACCTTTTGTAGCAACTGGTGTAGGTAATACATACGAGCTGAACTTTCGTGTCGATAATGGATGAATTTTCTCAGAAAGCTCAGGTTTATTCCCAGCAAAAAGAGGAGCAGATTGGCTGCTATTCCTTATTGCCCCTCCAAATGAAAAAGAATGACGATGGGTTCTTTCTGGATTTTCCTGTAACATAAGGAACAGTAAATATACCAGCAATAAAGTTGACATTTGCTGCAAATGAGGGGAACAAAATAAATTCCAAATGAGGTTATAATGTTGCTTCAGTTAAAGCATAACATACTTTGTATTCACTATCGTCAATGCATATAAATCTCTTGTCCAATCAGACTCAGTTAGCGAACTTGCATGGCTAATTTAGCCCAGAGAAAACTGATATGTAAAGATTAGTTTCAAAATTGTTAAGTGGTCTTCTCCTATATCTTGAGTATTGGGTTTTTATGGTCTTTTATATTAAAGTTGGGCCTCTTCGACTATAATCAATTGGTATAAAGCTGGATGCTTTAACATGGTATCAAAGTGCAAGTTCTATAATTATGTTTCTTTCTTCCTAAACCATATGAGGTTGACAACCAACCCCCAGTGAGGTTGCCCACCTTTAGGCCTTGTGCCCTATATTAAGGGGAGTGTTGGGTTTCCTGTGGTGCTACATTAAAGTTAGAACTCTCCATCTATAGCTAACTAGTTCTAGGCCAGATGCTTAACAAAAAGATTTGATAGTTAAATCTTGAAGAGGTAGGAACGGGCAAGTAAAAAACCATTTCATACTTTAAAAACTATAATAATTTTGCAGCATTTCGAAGACATAATATGGATTGCAATCAATGGAGTAATATAACCAGTTCCTTACCTTCGCAGCCTCCACCGTTGCAACTTGGGGAAATGTAAGGCCTACTTCATCCGACTGCAAAATCACAAGGAAAATTATCACCCAAGCAAAACTCACATGGAATCAATTCTATAATTAATTCATTTAGGACAAATAGGTTAAATACTATTTCCTCCATGTGCTTGTGTGAGGTCAGTAGAATTTTCTTTATGACAATCAGAAGAATGGAATCCATTCTACACACACAAACGCACAATAGAAAATAACGATTGCATTTCGGCAAGGAAGAAGTTAGCTTTTCTTATCAACAAATAACATGTTAAATAGTCACCTCCATTGAGTGTCGTGAAGCAGGAATCATGTTCTGATCTTGATCATTTTGTACATAGTCAAAGCTCAGCTCACCATCATCCTCATCACTATTGTAATCATCATCATCTTCATAAAATTCAGTATCATCATCATTATCCCCATCATCATCTTCAAGTCCACTGAAGCGATAATCAATATGCTGCAGTTCAGTGATCTTCTGCACATGTGGCTCCACTTCTTCAAGAGACTTAAGAGCCTTTTTAAAAAAGTTCAGCTGCTTTCAAGCAAAGGGAGATAAATCAATAACCAACAATTGAAGGAATAAGAAAGTTCAATAAAGTAAGAGGGAAAAGAAACCTGAGCAGCATGGTGTCGTGCTGCTTGTGTAAGAAGGCTTCTTGATTGTCCTTGCTTTAGAGATTTCAATCGGAAAACAAATAAAGTTGCCTCTTCGTCATATTCATCTCGCGCTACTTGTAATTGCTGCATGGAAAAGTTCTCCCCTTTCCTACCTTTTGATCTTCCTTTTTCTTTGAGTCCGGTTGCCATGTGCTCATACACATCTCTGTATAACAGACCATATATCAGAAGCCATATATTTGAAAGATAAACTTCGTGAGTGTCTATTTGTTAAAAAATAAATGAATAAACTTGGACCTTTTTTCATCACATTGTCTCTTCATCTCCTGTATCAACAGGGGGGAAATCAATATTACATCATTAAAAAAATTCTTAACCGGTTCAATAGTACATAATGCTCTTATAAAAAAAATAGTACATAATGCAATATGTTTAGTAAGTAAAACAATGTGATTCGAAAATGAGAATTTACACTTTTGTAGATAATGTTCACATAATACCTAAGAAAATGGCGATACATTAACGCTTTTGAAGAGAACAGAACAAACTAACAGTGTCAGAATTCAGGATACCAAAAAATCCCATATAAATCATGTATCCAATGTTGAATTATTATCTCAGCCGTTGAGGTGTTTGAATGTAGTTAAGCCAATAATGATTTCAATATATGAAGCAAGTTTTCAAGGGGTAGGCCTTTTGAGAACTTTCTGGATTTCATCTCAAGGAATTCATATGTTAAAAGAAAACAGGTAGCTGAACAAAGAGGCATTTCTTGGTGTTGATTGGTGAGTAAGTTCACTTTATTGGAAGAAGTAATAAACAAAACAAATATAACATAGGCTTCTTTTCCCTCTGTTGTTCACTCTCAGACAATTCCCAGGTTTCCACTTTCAAAACTGTTTTATGTTAGCAGGAAAAAGGTGAGATAATAGTCATAAAAGAAGACACCTAATTATGTAATATTCAACTTTTAGTCAGATCTCTGGCCATCATTTTAATTTGTAAATGTCCAAAAGTTAGGAAGTAAAGGACATTAAAAGAAATAACAATTACGATAAAATAATTGCGCACCACATTGACAAGATAGAACAATAAAAAATAGTAAAATTGGCAGCAAAAGACCATATAGAAAGTGCCAATAATTTAATGAAGTCCTTAAGAACAAACCTCAACTATTCGAAGTTCATTAAGAAGAGACTCTGATGGGACCGTGATTGTCTTGGATATATGAGACCGCTGAAGGATGCAAAGTGATAATCCATTAGAACAATAAAGAAGTAAGATGTAAGAGATTTAATGAGAGCTTCCAGAAGGAAAAAAAAGAGGACTCGCATAGCTGTCAACAAGTTTCTGGAGTTTGAACTGTACTTTTCCAAGCATTAGTAATACTCTACCTGCCCAGGAACAAAAGCAGCTTATTTTCATACATCCATTTCTTAAATGGTTTACTATAACAGAACATGTGTTCAGTTCAAGAAGAAATGTAATGCATTCTATCTGGATGTTCCCAAGATGGTAAAACAGCTTCCATGCTATCAGATTTAGAGAAGGAAAAAAACGTTATCTTTCTAAAACAAGAGAGATTGAAGGTGACAACTGTAAGGATGCAAAGCAAATTCGGAAATAATAAATGTGAATGTGCTAAGACTTTTACTTGATTCAATCAAAACTCAAGAAGTACTCTAAAATTGGCAGTTTATGGCGGAAAAACTTATCTACTGGAAAGGTAATGAGCTCAAAAGTAGAGTCTTAAACAGAAAGTCATCTGTTATTTGTTCATGTTAATCGGAAACATTGAGATTAAAAGTATAACAGAACATATCCACTTACCACTTTCTTCGTCATCATTTAATGCAGTTTTCTCAAGAAGACAAGTACCCATCTCCCGCAATGACTCTGAGAATTCTGACAATAGCAACGACTACATTAGAGATCTCAAGATTGGCATTGCATAAAAATTCTTCCATACCATTGACCAAATAATTAATATTTGATCGTGATTGAGCGTGAAACCAACATATATAACATCATTAATGAACCAAGGCCTAAGGCCATCTATTATTCTTACGGCAACTATTCCTATTGTTAGATTTATAAAATTGTCACTCCAGGGCTGGGACCTGAAAAGAAAACTCGATTAAACATTGCATTGGTGCACAAGAGAACAAATCATGTCATAATAGAAAGAGCTTGACATAGTTTATCGATGCTTATACAACAATAGATAGATAACCAACACAACGGATTTGAATTTCATAAACGATGTAATTGTATAATAATGACATGTAAGTGTAAGTTGCCTCTTTAGTGGTGAACTAGAAATACCTATAAACATTTAAGAGCTTGAAATTCATGTTTATACACCTTTCAGATATTAACTAAATTGAACCTTAACTAGTTTGTACATAACTTATGTTTTATTCTCATAGTTTATATAGCAAATGAAATTGAAATCCGAATTTTTCACATCTATATTTCTAAACAGCATAAATAACTGCCAGCAAAAAAAAGTGATTTTACTGAAAAAATATTAGGAAATACAACAAACTGACAAACACAAGAAAACATGTAAATTAAGTACCGTAAGCACAATTAGTAGTTGCTGCCGCTGCAGAAAGTAAGCTGTCGTAGCAATCTCTCATATCCTGCATATCCTGCAGATCATACGAGTCCATAGATAAATCAACTTTAACCTCAACAATATAATCACCGTGCTTCAATTCTTTTCGGGAATAGTCTCATGAGAATGAAAATTTCAAGTCTTTTTTTTATATAAAAATAAAGGAGAGAGAGAATAGATACAGTATCAATCCTTCCTAAAAAAAATCCTCAGAATCCATAATACTAGCAACGCCCTAATCAGAGAGAAAACCCTAACTGAACAATTGTTGAAGAAAAAGAAGTTGAGGGGGAGAGAGACCTGAGAAGCTTGAGCGAGCTCTTCGAGTTGAGGCAAAGCTAAAACATCATTTCGCTCCTTGGCTTCACCGGTGTGCTTGTGATGTGCTAACCCTCGCAGTCTTCTCAAAGAAGTCTTCATTTTGTTTTACCTCAAAAAGGAACTTCGGTTCAGTCTCCGATTCCAAAACAAATTACCCCCAGCTTCTTCTTCTTGTTTGTTCGAGTTTAATGTTTCTTCTTTCAACTTCGCTTCGCTTTCATGAATCGGGTAATAGAGCTCATAAAAATCAACAGGGCTACATATACGGTTCTACCCTGGAATTTGCTCTTTCTTGACTTCTTCGTTTGCCTTTTCTTTTTTTAATTGTTACGTTTTATTCCAAATAGCTATATATTTATTTAATGGCAAATTCGATGAGAAAAACTAATATAAATTAATAAAAAAAAACCAAGTAGTCAAACGTCAATAATCCCTTTTCTAATTAACAATTATGAATGGGGTTATCATAATTATAGTCCTTCAATTAAACTTCTCAATATGAAAATTCATGTAATTATATACATAATTGCTTTTCTTAATTTCAAAATTAATATTATTCAAAATTTAAATTTATTTAATCATAATTTGTTCTATTAGACATCTTCAACTTTATAATTAAATACTATTTTAGAAATTAAATTTATGTAAATATATAATTATAATTTATACTATTAAGTATAAAATAAAGAATTACAGTGTAATGAAAAGATATTAAAAATTATAATTATTAAGGTAATAACTATATTTTCATACAATTATATTATAATGTCCAAACGTAATCTAAGTGAATATTATACACATGTGTACGATAATATTAATATATTATAAAGTAATTGACAAATAATAATGAATTGGATCTAAGTCCCCATCCAACTAATCTTAATAAAGTTTTCATTAAATTAAAATACAAGGGACACAATTAGGTGTTTCAATTTTTTTGCTAAATATAAATAATGCCTAAATTAAAATTTTTTAGAATATTTTTTTTATAGAAACAACTAATTTTATTCAAAATAAGAAGTTCTCAAATTATAATAAAGATTTACAATCACAAACGTAAATTAAACACATAATTAGGAAAATTTCCTATAATCATTAAAACAAAACTAGTAACTTAAGATCACATAAGGATCGTACAAGGAAATATTAAATCTAACCAAGAAACTTGAACAAAGATAGATACAACTAAATCTGATTACATCGACAAACGAACTATAAAAATCAAGCTATTGACAGACCATCTAAAAACTGTAAATCAGACTCGAGCAATGTGAAAAACTATTCACGAACACAAATCGGGTATCCAAATCTAATCAGATGGTCTAAAGCAGGGAAGATCACAAGATATCATATAATATCATCTTGATCAGTCGTGATGATGTTAAATCAACCCTTAGAAAAAATATAAATAAAAAATGACCAAAGAACCGAAAAACATGCAAAAATATATATAAAAAAACATTCCATGAAGACGGATGAAAACGTGCAACATAGGCAAACTTATTGAAAATCAAAAATAAAAAGAAAATAAAGATTCGATACAAAAAAGAAATAAAGAATACCGGCGGTCGACAACTAACATTAAAGTTAGTGTTGCTGCCAATCAACAAGATGAAAAAAAGAAGAGATGAGCAACACGCCAATGAGATAAAACTAGATTTTTTAAACTAATTTTTTTGTTTTTAATACTAAAGCCTTTTTAAAATAATTATTTTAAGTATTGAAGAAATTATTTCTTTTAATCTACGAATTTTTATTTTTATCAAATTAAAATAATTGACATAAAAACTAACAAACTCGTTAAATTAACTTAAATTCCTTTATCATTTTATTAATATTAATGTTAGTTATTTTTGAGTAATTTTTTAACAATATTTAAATTTATTAAAAATAATATATATTAATAAAAAACATAAAAATAAAGGTCAAAAGATAAAACATTAAAAGTAAATGTAATCATTGACTGTTCAAATCTAAAACCTTAAGAAAAAATAAATAAAGATTCTTTTTTTTATCCCTGAGACCCTTGATGAATTCAACTACAAGAAAATAGAGAAATAAAGCTATTATTAAACCTATAAAGAAATGTATAAAAGAGGAGTATTTAGATGTAGCAAATCATGGGTAAGAGAATTATTCCCTCTATCCCACAAAAATGTTACTTATTAACTTTTTAAAAGTCAAACTTTTTAAATTTTGACCATTATTATTTGAAATTTTAAAATAATTAAATTTTATAAAATATATATTTAAAAACTATTTGATTGAAGGTTTTTAAAATAATTTTTTATTCAATAGTAAATTATAAATAATAATAAATCAAAATTTAAAAAAATAACAAAAAAAATAATAATAATAGGCATATTTTATAGTACATGGAGTATAAGGTTTTCAAAAGTCCCGAAACGTGTAGCAATCATACATGTGCAGATAGAGAAAATTCCCATCATACTAACTGCCAAAATCAATTAGGTAGCAAACACAGAAACTTGCTGGATTACTCCTCGGTTCATTCCTCGACCAGTAACGGCTTTTGTTTGTTGATTGCCTTTGATTTGATATTAGTAATTTCCAGATAGGGAAACAGTGTGTCAAAATTTCAATGCCAATTCATCATCATTGCTATCATCACTATTAATTAATTGTGGATATTAAGAAAAATCTTAAAAGCACGACGACCGGTTAAAGAAAGAAGTTAGGAGCATGAAAGGCTTTGGTCAATAAACCGTGTTTCGTGGGGGCTAAGCCTAGGACTAGGGAACCCTTTGTTTTGATGGCTGTTTCGTCCCTGTTTCAATTTCAGTCGTTGCTAATACTAGAGCTTTGGAGACGAATTCCGTTATGATTTAATCTAAAATATTTAAGATATAATCCGTTCAATAAAGAAATAAATTTAGATAAAAAAAAAGTCAAGGATTTGTGATAGATGCCAAAACCTCGAAGGCTGCTAGCGCGAGTGAAGAAATGAACGATTCTGGTTATTCCTTCTCACCTACACAATCCGACTTATTGTTAACCACTTCAACTTATTTTGTAAAAATCTCATCATAATGTATCTTTTATTTTACCAGCCAAAAGGACCATAAACCGATTTTTTCATCGGATTCTCAAACAAAATATCAAATCAATGCATTGCATTTAAAAATCATTCAATCCAACCAAAATAAACAGCAGCAGAGCCCTTTGCTCCACTAAACATAAAGTCTTAGGCTTAACCATGGTTGAACAGGTTAATGTCCCAGTTATTATATTGAAGCAGCCCGCTGTAACACCCGAGATGGCAAAAAATAGCGTATTCCTCCGATTCCCTGAAACCATTATTTATTGGCTACATTATGAATTCATGAATAGAGATAAAAAGGGACACTAGCCAATGGTACAGACCATGCAAATGATGAGTACTGACCTAGGTTGGTTCGATCATGCAACAGCAGCCAATGGTTCGGATCTGTAGCATGCTCTCTTCGCAGCACGGACAATATCTTCAACCTGCAGAATCGTACAAGAAAAAGGGAAACAGAAAATTAACCTATAGCTATACAAATATAGCATCCATCAAACAGATTTGTATTAAGGAGGGGGTTGAAGAGGGAGGGGATTAAAGGATCCTTGTCGTCGGAAAAACAAGTCAAAATAGAAGCATCAGAAGAAATGAAATTACCTGTGGCACAGCCATTCTCTCGAGATTTGCTGCATATGGCATGGGAACATCAGCTCCAGCAATTCTCTCAACCGGGGCATCAAGATAAGCAAAACTCTCCTCCACAACCGATGCACTGTGAAAGAAGCATCTTTGTAAATATAAAAGGCACCAGAATATTTGGTAAGCATAAATTAAACGATTAAAAAAATAAAAGAACTCGAACCAGATTTCAGCACCAACACCATGCTGTGGAAACCCTTCTTCAACTGTTATCAATCTGTTGGTTTTCCTGATGGAAGCGCTAATTGTTGATCTATCTAGTGGCCTAATAGAACGCAAATTTATAACCTGTATTTAACAAAACCAGCCATCACATTTCTTAGAGAATGATGGAACCAACTTGTAAGGACATATGAGTTCTTTGTGTTATATTTTACCTCTGCATCAATTCCATCCTTTTCAAGTATCTCAGCTGCCTGAACAACAAACATTCTATTAGTTTACAAGTCCACGAGCCAACATGTTCGAACTATAAAATTAGATTTTCAGGAGGATACAAACAAGGTAAAAGAACCTAGCAACCCAACATGACACTGGATGTTCCATTAAGAAGTGCATTAAGCTCTAATCATTTTAGAAACAATTGATTCCGTTTCTTACAAATGATGTGGTGGCTGGAATTGATTGATGAACAAAGCAGACACTCGTTTCCTTTCACTTCTTACATGGATCGTCTTCCATCCAACTTTTAATCAGTAAACAGAGTTTCATTCACAAAGACCAACCCATCTAAGGCAAAAAGAAAGGAATATTATTTTGTTCTCAATGTTTCTATCTTCTTTTCTATTTTGCACCGACAATTTTTGTATTTTCACTGCCAGCGGCAAGATCCTATTGCCCCTTCATTGTCACATGCATGCCATATTCAAAAATCTTTCTGGTGTATCCAGCACCAGCAATAGCTGACACGTGCTTGGTTGCATCAAATAGGTGCCCGTGTGGGATACATATCCTACATGAAAACATGAGGATGCAACATTGCCCATTCTTCACAGCTTTAGATTGTTATTTTTAACCGGGCATTTGTACTGACATTTTCAATCTATCTCAAATGATAATTAGGCACAGCATATTCAAAAAGAGATACCATACAAGGCATACCTTAAGAGCATGGCCCACCATTTTTGAAAAGGCTGTAATGGTCACATCCTTTCCTACTCTCTCTATCTGTTAAAGTAAGCCGTTAGAAAAAACTAAATTTAGATTCTATTAAAATGAAGCATCATGAGATATGTGGAATCAAAATAACAACAGTTATGAGTAAAATTTTTGGGGCATTATAACATTACCTTAGCTTTCCCAATTGGAAGGCAAAAGCTTGAGTCAAGAAATTCATCAGAAACGGGGAATGATTCACCATATCTGAAGCAGAATGGTTATATCAGAGCAATTTCAGTCATTAAAATTCTAACCAAAGGGAAAAGGCAATGGTGTGGGGACTCAAATATATGAGAATCATATATGATCAATTCACTTACAACAACTCATTTTCAAGGAAAACAACTGGATCAGGATCTCTAATAGCAGCTTTGAGCAGTCCACGAGCATCTTCAGAACTGTATGGCATCAGCACTTTCAAACCAGGACAAGAAGCATACCATGATGCATAACACTGGACAACAACCAAGAAAACGAAACAATCAAGCAAGATCTAGGGCACGGGGTGAGTAAATGCATGTAAATAAGCTAAATAATGAGTGAAAGTAACAGTATGCAGAAACTATACCTGAGAGTGTTGGGCACCTACACCAGCAGCAGCACCATTAGGTCCTCTAAAAACAATGGGTACAGACATCTGGCCAGCAGACATGTAGTTGGACTTTGCAGCGGAGTTAATAATGTGGTCTATTGCCTGCAATATCATCCAGAAACAGATCAGAGAAATTTCTGCACCATAACAAATTCCTACATGAACATTTAAGAGTAACCAATGCCATTAACTTGCTTACTACCATGGAGTGATCAATCCTAATTTAGCTTTAAATTTAGGAAATTCTGGCATACAGTACTCGCTAAATTTAAATATTCGGTAGTCATATTACAGATGTCCAAGTACAAATAATGTTGCAACAGTCTAAGAAGACCTCAGAGCCACTTATAATCTTGAGCATTGAAATGTATGATCTAAGCAGAAGGGAAATCAAATCATGGTTTCAAAAGCTACGACAACCTTCACAACAAATGGCTACCACAAGAACTCCAAAGATCTCATATTTCTATAAAAAGCATATGTTAGCTTGTCTTAGCACCAGGTTTTTGACGATTAGCATGAACATAATCACCCGAGAGAATTACAAAAATTTAACAAAGAACTGAGAATAAATTATTGCTAAACAAACTTGTATTCCAATAACATAATTTGGTGTCTTTAGTGAGAACCACAAGGATTAGGACCAATTACAGATAAAGAGGTTAACACGCTGTTGCTATATACCATCACTTTCATTTCAGTATGAGTTTTGACAGTATGTCAGGCTTCAGGGAAAACAAGCATACTTCATTCATACAAACTTCTAAGGTTTTAACAGCACATTACAGTAGCAATTTTAACTCCACTGTACTTTAAAACAAAACGAAAATGATGGCATTTTAACTCTTTTTTCTTTTCCATGAAATGCATATCAATTCATTTAGACGTCATTTCAAAATTTATCCATATTTTAACACAACAAACTGATAAAAGTGTATAGAAGAAAAGATTCAAAACATAACCCTCTAACCTGCATGGAGAAGTTAAATGTCATAAACTCCACTACAGGCTTCAGGCCGTAGTAAGCAGCACCGACCCCAATCCCAGCAAAACCTGCCTGTGAAACAAGAAATAAACAACTGTGATTGGAAAACAGTGCAAAGTACTAGAAAACATCAACAAACAAACATACAATAAACATGCGGGATCAATGATTCAATCAAATAATAATAAAATGAAGAAAAGAATAAAAAAGAGAATAAGCATGGCAAGAACAATAACCTCAGTAATAGGAGTATCAAGAACCCTCTCAGGTCCATACTTCTCCAAAAGCCCCTTGGATATCTAAAAGAGAAATAAAAGGCAATCCTCAGACATGTAACAATGTTTCTACTGCCTTCAATAAACATGGAAAAATAGGAAATTTATTATTAATGCCAACCTTGTATGCACCCTGATATTCTCCGACCTGCATTTAGAAAAAAGAATAAGCATGAACATAGAAACAAAAAGAACACCAAAGTTAGGATTATTAACAGTAGTTCCGGTTAACACCATCTGACCTCTTCACCCATCAAAAAGACTTTAGGATCAGCTGACATCTCCTCATCAAGAGCAGAGTTCAATGCCTCTCTCACTGTCATCTGTCCATATTTGTCATTACACACCCCAAATTAAAAAAAAAAAAAAAAGTCAATTCCATATTCAATGAAAGCTAAGCCTTCCCTTTTAGGGTAGACTAATATTCACAAAACCCCTTTACCATTAACAGAAAGAAAAGCAAACTATTTACACACACACACAACTACAAGCATAGGCATAGTTTTATCAACAACAAAAAAAAAAAAACAAGCATAGGCATAGCAATATCTGTGTGCTTGTGCAAGCTTATATGAAATGCAGGTCCTCAGTTCTGATTTTATGAACTGAAGCAAGTGACATCTACAGCAGTTCATAAGACTAAATACAGCTACCCCATGGCATACGAGGTAACACTTTCAGTGTGCAATATGACATCTAATAGCATCGAATCAGCAATATTTATATACATGCACCAAAGAATTAAGAGGTGAAAAGAATAACCTGTTTTGCTGCTGATGAGTAGCTTCTCAGCGCTGACACTGCAGGACGAATCTGCGTCAATGACAGCCTCAACATCTGAATAAGCAAAAATAAAATAAAATAAAAGGCATGCATTAGAAACATAAAGATATATGAGAGAGCAGGAGTGCAGGACCGTTCCCGGAACTCACCTTTTGCTTTACAACTCCGAACATCTTTCCTCAACGTTTCTTTTCTCTGATAAAAGAAACGACATCATCTGTTAACGATTTCATTAACAGCAGAGCTAATCCCAGTTGCATAAAAATCAAAGATACAGAATGATTCAAGCACTGATTTGTGTAAAAATGCATTACTGACTCACCAACTGAGGATTTTCTATTCTAAAAAAATATAAATCAGAAACTTCATTACTAACAAATGATCAAAATAAACAATTATACTTATACAAATCGAGTAATCTAAATCAGAAAAAATAAAAGGCTGGTTAGTGAGAACCAAACGCAAAATGGATGAAAAACCAAATCAGATCCAGAACATAGATGCTCACCAAACCTGATGGTGGAGAGGCAAGGATGGCCAAAATTGAAAAGAGGGGAATAGCGCACAGCTCAACTAACACCTTCGCTATGTTAAAACAGAAATAATATTTTTTATTATTATTTTGCCTCTTTTTTTTAAATACTTTTTCTTTAATAAAAAAATTGAACATTCCGCAGAAAGATGTAGTACGCAGTCAACTTTATCTTAAGGGTCGGGATCGAAGCTTTGGTCAGCTGGGACAACAATCGACGGTTAGTTGTTAACGAGAAGGAAGACTGGATTTTTTTTAAAATTATTGAATACAAAATTTATAAATTAGATCATTCAACTTTTAATTTGATAATTAAACACCAATCGACCGACCGATTAGTAAAAAAATCCATTTATTTTTAAAAATTATATTACATCAAATATAATTTAATCTGATTATAGTTTTTGTTAACTATGAAAAAATATTTAATCTAATTTAATTTAATAGTTAAGTGTTGTTAAGCTTATAATTTTCAGTAATAAAATGATATTACATCATTAGTTTTGTTAATATTTGACGATATGTGATTTAATGAAATTAAATTAAAATTTAAATAGTTTAATTAAGTTTTTTATTTAAAGATCAAAATAAAATTAATCTCATTATTTTGTAACCTCCAGAATAGTTTACCCTAATATTTAAGATAAAATTGTGAAGAATAGTGGGTGTTGGGGGATGTTTGCCCCAGAAGGGTTGGTGGGGTCAAAAATGAGTAGCTGAAAGAACATGTGACCTTCGAGTTGAAGTTTCATACCCCAAAATGTATTTTGCTTTTATTTATGTATAAAAGGCCATTAAAATGGCCACCGAATCTTACCAATAATTGGTGGGATTATTAATAGAGCACATTACATTATTAAAAAGATAATTTATATTGGGATAAAGAATACAAATGATGTTCGATTATAAAATATTATTTTATTGACTCATTCTATTATTAACAATTATATAAATATTCTCGACTATAGAATGTTGTTTTGTTGAATCATTTGATTATTAAAAGTTACAAAATGATCATCTAACTATTTATATATTCCAAAATCGTTCTTTTTATTAAAAACTAACGATCTTCTGAGCTAGATGTTAACCTGTTGATTGAAATATGATAAATTAATTTTTTAATAATGTCTATTAACATCGTCGTTACTTTGAAACATTGTCTCGATGACATAATATTTTAAGCACTAACATGACAACATAATGTATATAGAAAATTGATTCACAAAATACAACTCAAACAGTTTTAAGATAATATTTTATCATATCTTAAACAAGTTAATGTCCAACTCAAATAATCATCAATCTTTTAACGGATAATGACGAGTTTGGAACATATAAATAACTAGGTGATCATTTTGTAAATTTTTAATAATCAGAAGACTCAATAAATAACAACCTATAGTTAGGAAACAATTTTGTAACTTTTAATAGTGAGAAATCAACAAAGCATCACCTTATAATCCTGCACCATTGGTGAAGTATACAAATGGTACTTGACCATAACCTATAGGGTGTTACTTTGTTAAGTCATCTAATCACCAAAAGCCACAAAATAATTCCTCAACTGTATGATATTGTTTTGTTGAATTATTCGACTATTAAATGTTACAAAGTGATCAACTAACTATTCATATATTCCAAATTCGTTTTTTTTCAATTGAAAATTTGACAATTGTATGAGCTACACGTTAACTTGATAACTAGGATATGATAAAATCATATTTCAACAATATCTACTAGCATCATGGTTACTTTTAAGAATTAGCTTGATGACATATAGAAACAGATAATCAATCCATAAAATACAATTCAAACGATTCTAAGATCATATTTTATCATATCGCACTCAAACTAATTAACGTCCAACCCAAATGACCATTAATTTATTAACGAAAAAAATAAGTTTAAAATATATGAATAATTAATGATCATTTTATAATTTTTTAATAGTTGAAAATCCATTTGTGTACTTTACCTTTTATATTTAAAATCGGAAGACAATATTAGAAAACACAATTACAAACTTAAAGAAAAACAATTATGCTATGATTAACAAACAATAAAAGGAAAAAAGTGAAGGGTTTGGTTTTGATGCTTTCTTCACACCTTATCTGCCTAGGGATGTTTAAAATCGGGTACCCGCATTTTTTTTGTATCCAAGTATAGGGTACTCGATTCTCTGGATATTATATTTATCGTAAAATCTGAGTACCCATATTTTTGGGTCACGGGTACCCGATTCATCAATTTTTTTAATTTATTTTAAAAAAGCACACACATAGAAATACATAAAAAGATTAAAAGTTCATTATACACAATCCATACACAAAAATTAGTGATTTGAAGTTAGTTTTAAGAATAAAAATTTGGGTATATATATATATATATATATATTAAAGTTTATTTCTAAAAGAAAAATTAAAATTATTAATATCGATTGTATTTTTTTTTTCAAATCTCATATTGACAATTAATAAAAAAAATATAAAATTGTAAACTTAAAAGTACATAATACTGATCTAAGAAAAAATTAGGAATTTAAATTTTATTTAAGGTAAAAAATATTAAGGAACCTAAAATAAAAATACAATTTAAACAAAAATTATATATATATATATATATTAATATTGCCGGGTCAGGTATCTGGTTTTAAAAAAATTTCGACCCAGACTGGGACCAACTACCCAAAAAATCACAGATCAGGTACACGACCCGATAGAGAATTTTTTTAGAGAATTACTCAATTTTTCAGGTTTTAGGTTTGAATTGATGGATCAACAAACCAAATCAATTGAGTTTGATATTTTTAAACACCCGTATACCTACCCGCTGCAAGTTTAATGGTTCAGATGTTTTCTAAGCCTTTCCCCAATGATTTTGTACCATAAACATTAGAAAAAAAAATAAATTGTACCGTTCCTTACTAAATTATACTATCTCTTATATTTTATTAATCGTACTTTTATTTTTTTTTATTTTGCTTACTAAAATTTACATATTGATTACTTTGATCACTCTGTAGTTAATTTTTTAACATGGTTATGACATGACACAAATATCAAAATGACATCATTTTGAAAAACTCAAATAGACTCCAAAATGACATCATTTTGAATCCTCTTATTCCCTCCACTTTTAACCATCGTAGATGATGATTGTTCGGTCTCAAAATTCACGGATCAATTCGTCTCGACCACCTTAATTAGAATTCAATGGTTGTTTCATCGGAAAATATCTTAAAATCCATCAATTTCGACTAAAATGTTTCGACTTCTTTACTTTCAATCTCCAATTCATAAACTTAGAAATAAGTTTCGATAAAATAGAGATCAAATTCAGACTCAAGTTGTCAGGATAAAGAGACATAAAATTTATGACCAAACAATCACTATCTACGATGTTCAACAGTGATCGATGGTGACCAACCACATCATCCGACCACCTTCTGTTTTTATTTTGTAATTGGGAGAACAAATAAAGAGAGTGTAAATTTCAATGAAAAACAATGTAATTTACCCTTTATGTTTTCAATTATTTTATATTGAATAATAATAATAAAATTTATAAAATAATACATCATCACAACACTAGAGAGTTAACAACAAAATAATTTAACTTAAAAGTACGGTGAGTAAAATAAAAAATATAATAAAATTCAATAAGGAACGGTATAATTTATCAAAAAAATTGGTGGCTTAAATGAAAACTCTTAATAGTTTTAAGATTAAATTCCAAGGCGCGTAAAGTTCTGTAGCCATTTTTCAAAACCCTAGGGAGTTGAGGAACTCCAACCGCAATGTATTCCTGCTTCATTTAACCGTTTTAACTCACCTAAATGTGTAGTGATGTGTGTTTGTTGTTGGTGTAATGGTAAGTACCGGGCAGCAAAACTTAGAACTTATATTTCTAATTGAAGTGAAGTTGAACTAATATATAAATCATTATTTTATACATATTTACTAATTTTAATATAATGACGTGTTGGTTTATACATAATATATATTTAAATTTTAATATAATATTTTTAAAATGATTTATTTTGTTTTGAGGACGTGTTGGTTGGAGTCCCCCTTCATGATTTTGTTTACAAAAGTAATCCAATTATAAGTTAATAATCAATCTCACCCACTGCTTTCTTCATCTTAAAAGAAAATGCATACCCTCTTGTTTCATCCGTTGATTGCCTAATTCTTCCAAGGCTCCATTGTTTGGATCAAGGAATCGATGTTCAGGTAGAGATACCTTCACTGTCCTGCAAACAAACCAAAAGCTTACTACACTAACCCACAGAAAATACCAGTAGACCTGCAACAGAAAGACGTTAAGGAAAACCCATCGCATCATTTCAAGTGAAGATCCAAGATCAGTGCCGAGCCCCGACATTTTCATCAAGCGTGGAATATGAAATTTTAGGCGCACACAGCGTGGCGCCATCAACGCTTTTCAAATGCCAAGTTTTGATGGTTCCACGCCGGCATGCGCCCAAAACACCACACTCTTCTGTAAAGCCGCGCCACCTGCTTCCTCTTTTCTGTGGATGCTACAAGGTTGCGATGGCTCTATTTATATAACAAATCCCGTCCACGAAGCCGGGAGTAAATGATGTGATAAAATGAAGGGAGAGGAGTAGAGACACGCTGTTCCCAAAATGGTATTGACAAGTGTCACGCCGTGGAGGCTTTAGGCTGTCGTGGGTAAAAGGAACTCTATTATGTCTGTTTGTTGGTAACTTGGACAGGTATGCTGCTGCTGCCAGCCTGGGCAAATTGCTTAAACCCACTCCCTTCTTACACCTGGAATTTGGATAAGGGAAAGCTATCGAAATTTGGACACTACAAAATTATGCACACACTGACGTCTGATGTATAACTCCGCAGTGTCCAAATTCCTTTTTCAAATATTCAAATACTCGGTTGTTATTGATCTGTTTGAAAATAATAAATATTTAAATTAAAAAAAGATAAATAGACTATTATCATTATAAACCATTTATTTTCACCAACAAAACTGATATATGATTGAATTAAATTTGATGATGAGATTCATACATCCATATCGGCAACAAACATACCAATTTAGGGGGAGGGTCCCCACCAAAGTTTAGAGGATTGATGGAATCTTACGTCTTTTAAATTGAACAACTCTACCCTGTACAGATAGGCTTGAATCTTGGTACATGGATAATGTGTGGTCCAATTTGGTATTGTAGAAATTGGGATCAAGGAGGAGGCTGAAAAGTTGGATCCCAAGACCCAAAGAAAAGGCTGTGAAAGCCCTCCTACTCATCTTTCTATGGGCCACAACACTGATTTTGACATCAGTAAAACATACTTTAAACTTTTAGTAAAAGTTGTGATTTTTGTTTCGTTTTATAAAGCAAGAAGATGGACGTATTAATCAGGTTTGTTTGGAAGTCACATGCAAAAGTGACGTGAAGAGCTCCCAACAGCTCGAACTTTGATTGCAAAACCATTGCCACAAGAAACTCCGGTCGGCATTTATTTAAACCAATATGTTGGGTCATCAATGACATCGTCAACCATCATCCCATATTTTTAAACTTCAAATGTTGGTGTTTGCCCCGCCTGTTATGGTAAAGTTAAACTAACTCAATTATGGACGATAATCAAAGGTGTCATTGAGTGCCGTCCCCTGTCTGTTCTTTCTCATGATCGCATCCACCCGGCAATCATATAATGCTCCGTGTCCCACTTTCTAACCTCTCATATTTGTGATATCACATCCTCGTGCTGCTCGTGCTTTTAGGGTTTGGGTGATTCTACGCTGAATAGTCTAATATAAAACTAAAAAAATACACGAATTAAAATGTTATGTTTGTTTATAACATTTTTAGGTCGAGCCTTTATTTAGTTTTATTTTAGGATGCTACACCGTAGAACCTTTCCTTTTAGGATATATGAAAATTCAAGTTTAAATGAAAAATATATAATTCGTATTTAAAAGTTTATTTTTAAAGATATTTATATTTAATTCATTTAACATTTTAATATATTTGCTTAATTTATTTATATGTTTAAAAAATAATGAAATTACATCATTAGTCTTTAAATTTTATACTTTGAACTTTTAAACTTTACCTCATGTTTAATTTAATCCCTATCGAAAAATAAAAATAAAATGGATAATTAAGTTTATTCGTAAACACAAACGAATTGAACATATCATTGTTCGTGTTCGTTCTTTTATTAAATGAACATAAAAATTTTATTTAACTTAATAAACAGACGAGTAATTCATAAACAATTCATTGAATGTTAAATCAATTTACAACCCTATTTGTGTTGAACGGTTAAAGAGCTTAATCATGGCTCAAGTTTCAAAAGAATCATGTGCAAAATCCACAGCTTAAAATAGCAATAAGATGGGAGATTCATATACTCCACCATCTCCCCTACTCTAGCACCACCTAGTCAATGTCATGTTATATGCCAATTTTAGTTTAACCCTATTTTCCCACAACCTTAGACTTACTATTTGAGTATGCGACAGTAGTTGCAAATACTCGGAAAAAACTGTCTCAGAATGCCTGCTTGTTTTTCTTGTACAGGAAGATGAGAATTTGGGTAGCGGCTCAGAATATTTGGAGATTCGATCCCATTGTGAAAATAACTGTGGGAGAATTGAGTTATTTTTTAACATGTTTTCACCTTTTTCTTCAAATAATACAAGTTAATGCATGCCGAGCTCTATCTTCATTTCCTTTTACTAGTACTTTTCTGCTTCGTGATAATCACAGGCAAAAAGAGAGACCCAAAGACATGAGAAATTACATAGCACTTGATTGCTTTTTTTTTTTTTTTTGGTTCAAAAGAGGGTTATTAATCTGATTGGTTAATCAGACTGATACACAGGCATGATGAAATTGAAAACAAAAAAAAAAGGTGCAACTGTGGGGCTCTTTTTCAAGTTTTTCTTCTGAAATAAGGAAAACTATTGCAAGTACTGCTTTCTTCGCGGTCATCCGTTTCGTTATTTGAGGCTTGTGTGATCCCACTGGAGCAAGAGGAGGACGATGAAGAGGCTAGATTTAAGCCGGTCCTCTCCTTGGTCATGAAATCATAGAAAACAGGACTCAATGCCCTTGCTTTTGTTGGCACTTCCTTCTCGTTTTTAGTACTCCCACCTCTTCTTTTCTTCAAAAAAACCCGGCACAACACCCAATTTTCCACTGCCACAACATTGCAGGCTGCTGTCTCGGCGCTAAGGAGACGATATTCATGCATGATCCAGTCGGTTCTGGTTCCCTTTGGGGGTTTTCCTCTGTAAAAAACCAGGGTTTTCTTCATACCGACTACTCGGTTGCCCCTACAAGTCGCGATTTGTTTGTCGATTCCAGTTGCTTTCCAATAACCCGAAAGTGTTGCTCTGTTGGATCTATTCCCATTGGGATACTTGGCTTCCCTGGTGCTAAAGAAGTACCTTTCTTGCTCCAAATCACCTGATAATAAAAACAAAATACACCCAATGTGTCAGTTCATCAAGCAAAGCAAACTCTTTGATTTCTCCTAAAGGCTTCTAATTTACCTGGCAATTCCCAAGGATCGGCTTTGCAAACATCAACTTCGGGAATGACGGAGGCAGGTAAAGGCCAAGCAAGCACCTTTCTTCTCAGGTACTGAACCACCAGCTCCTCGTCTGTGGGATGAAACCGGAACCCAGGAGGCAATTTCAACACGCCGTCCTTCACAAAATTAAGCTTCTCCATCTTCAACCTGTGGTTAACGAAATGAAACGAAAAAAAGAAAGAAGAACTGAGCCTACAATCTTGGCATGACTTTGCCTTCTTATACTATTAATAGAGGGTATCAACGAGGGGGAACAAGAACAAGAACAAGAACAAGAAAAAGGAGAGGAGGATTATAAAGGGAATGGAAAGTTGTAAACGTTATGAGAAAGAAAAAGAATATAATAAGCTTTGTACTAAGAGGACAGGACTTATAAGGTTGGGTTGAGGGGTCCTTGAAATTGACAATGCGCCGGAGATTCTTAACAAACCAAGAAAGAAAGAAGACGGTCCATTGACACTGGCATTTGATTAATTTATTTATAGTGATAAGTTTTGTACAAAGAGGACAGCACTAAGAACTACGGACTATTTCTTTCTACTAATAAAATATTGTTTCTGCATGATGATATTATATATGGAGTAAACAGTATACATTTGGTTGAATTAGGGAAGGGTAATAAGGTCAAAATGGGAAGTGGGAGAGGTGGGGCCTACTTGGCTCCAAAACGACGGGCACTCACGTCGGATTGAAGGAAATCGACAAAAGTGGCACCTTCAAAGTGATGAGTGATGCCCCATTTCAAGATTTCCCAAATCTTGTTTGCCTCACTGTTTCGGATTAGATCATATTTAAAAAGATGGAAAATATTTGAGTAAATCACATATTTAATCATTTAACTATTATTATGATTTTTTTTCGTATAATTATTTTTTAAAATCATCAATAATGTAATATTTTGATTTTATTTTGTTTATCCATTATTTTAGTTTTAAAAATGTTTTAGCTATATTTTTATTGGTTACCATTAAAAATTAATAAAACTATTAATAATATTTATTTATTTATATAATAATAATGTAATATTATCATATGATAATACATATTATCATTATTAATTTTTTAACAACTAATAATCAAAATAAAAGTAAAACAAAAAGTTAGTGATGATTTTAAAAAAATATAATTAAATAATTAAAACAACATAAGTGACTATATATATATTTTACCCAAAAAAAAATTAGGTCATGATCCTCATCTCTTGGTCTCCAAAGGACAAACATACCCCTCTTAACGGTGGGACACACGAGTTGAGATTTGTGAAAACGGGAGCCTTAGAAATTGACAAATGAAGAAGACTTGCCCGATTCCGTAGAGAGAAGGGAAACTCCTTTTTTTTTTTCTTCCACAATTTCGTAGAACTGCAAGGACTGAATTAGAAATAAAATAAATTATTATTTATTTAATAAAATGATAATATTTTATTGGTGATTCAGTCCATGAATTTAATTTGATGCACTTATTATATAAAAATAGAAATATCCACAAGCAAATGCTCTCACACCCCACTTGAATAAATAAGTAGAAAGAAAATATGGGTTTCGTGCACAAACTGCCATTTTCTTTCTTTGTTTGCCCTTTTTTATTATTTTGTTTTTGTGGAGAGTCCTGGAGTTTGCGTGTGGGTGTTGATGAGGGTTTTAAGGAGTGATACACAAACGTCAAAGGCTTCAATTATTATGTCTTTGAGTAAAATATGTTGTTCTCTCTCCTTTTTTCCCTTTCTTTTATTTTAAAAATCTCGTAGTGGAAAATGTCATTATTCGTCTCTCCCCTTTAATATATGATGATATTAATGAATAAACGATGAGTGGTTTAATACCCTTTGTGTCAATCATTCATGTAATAATGTCATTTCTTTTGCATATACACATCTAGTAGCCCTTTTTACCTAAAAATAACTCAAACAATTAATAATTATTTATCATACATCATTTCTCTAAATATTATCACTCTAGTATTTTTTTCTCACAGAGTAATATTAAAGTGAGTTTTAGGATACACGTCTTACAAATGTGGACAGAAGTCGCAGATCATGAAACACACCTTTTTTGGGTTCTGTTCAAGCTAGTGTCACAATGAAAAAACGTATATTATAATATGCGCCTTTGCAAGGAATTTGATATGTCGCAGAAGATACATGCATTCCATTAAATTACAACTACCCTTTTAATACTGTCCAATTGCCCCTTCCTCTCCCTCTTATAAATACCCTTCCATACAACATTCAAACCACATCAAAGAAATTATTTTATTCCTTATCAATTATTGTAGCAAGCTTTAAGTAAGTGATATTGTTTTTAGAAGCTATAATTTTTTTATTATATTATAATCATTTCATAATTTATTAATTTATTATTATTTAATTTACTAATTTTCTTATTATTTTTTGCAGTTATAAAATGGGAGGCGGGTTGGTGCTTTTAGATGGAAATCATATCTCGAGTCATTTTGTCGATATAGTAACAATTTTAATTTGTATATTATTTATTTAATTAGGGGAGTGATCGTATATTAGATCCATTTATTCGTAACACTAAGTTAGATATATCGAGTCGTGTCTGGCCATATTTAGCTGAGGCTGGATTTGGTTACATAGCGAAATATAAAGGGCATTGTAACCTTGAATCCAACCTTATTTCTACATTGTTTGAGAGGTGGAGACCAGAGACACATACATTTTATCTTCCGCGTAAGGAGTGCACTATTATGTTGGAGGATGTTTTCATACATTTGGGGTTTTTGGTATATGTGGATATTATTTCTTATGTGATCAATGGTAATTGACATTCCTTGTGTGATGGGTATCTTTGAGGTATCTCGTCTAATTTCAACAGTGGTTGAATACTGTTATCATGGTTAGCTACAAATTTTCAACATTTAAGTGAAGAATGTTCCGAGGAACATGCTAAAGTATTTGTTCGGGCTTACATATTACAACTCATAAGAGGTATCTTGATGTCCGATAAATCTCGTAATCAAGTTCATTGTATGAGGTTATGTCACCTCGAAGATTTTCACGTTGCCGACAGACTTAGTTGGGGCTTCGTAGTTTTGGTATCTCTCTATAGAGAAATATGTTGGGCAATTGATTATCGAAAAAATGCTATTGGTGGATGTCTCATTCTTCTCCAATCATGAGTGTGGTATCGTATGTCCTTTTTATGTTCGATCTTGAATAACCTATTAGTCTTCTCGTTATTTATGAGGTAATTTCAATACTGAGTTCGTATATAAATAATTTTTTAGTATATAATAAAATAATTTTTTCACATTGAATAGGTGGTCATGTACAAGGAAAAAAACATCGTGATATACCAGATTAATTGGAAGAAATTCAGTTACTTATTAATCAGAAGGCTAGTATAAAGGTATGTATTTAAATTTTATTATTTACCTTTAATTATCGTTATATAATTAGAATATTATTTTGATAAGAATTATATATGTTTTTTTAGTTTGAATGGGCTTCTGATTCTACTCAAGAAATGAGGTTTTGCATCACACCTCACTTGAGTGGCTCATTAGATATGTGGATGGCAGTAATTCCTATGATATGTTATGCTATTGTCGAACGACATCCTATTGATTGTGTGCTCCATCAATTTGATTTCGTACAACACATTCCTGAAGCACCTAAGAATATTGACAATATACATAACGTCGATAAAAGAGCCAAAAAGGATGTCAATTGGCTGCTAAAGCATAGCTAGTAGATAATGTTCTGGGAGGATCGACGTGAATGCATTCCCACTAGGGAGTCGATTTATGTGGATCATTATTCAGTTATGCGTGATTATTTTGAGCGGTTCAACAAGAAAAGAAATCCATTCCTACTTTCCGATGAAGCACAAGGTGTGAACATTCATCGACATCAAGAAAAACATCCACCGTCACAGTATTATTGTCCCCTGACTCGTGGACGGAGAACAAGTGATTTCAGTTTGTCTTCAGCTGCAGTATTGAAACCATCACATATGCCACCATCTATATCAGTTTATATTCCCAAATAGCCACTATACATGGGTACACCGCCGGTTCTGATGGCAATGCAGTTGGTTCATGTAGATCATTATTCGATTGTGTGTGACTATTATGATTGGTTTAACACAAACGAGAAGTCATTCATCCTTTCAAGGAAGCATGAGGCGAGAGCATTAATCGACTTCGAGAAAAATGTTCACTGTCACAATATCATCATTCCTCGACTAATAGACGAAAAGTAGACATTTTCGGCTCATCATTAGCTGTAATACGAAAACCATCACAACACCCACCGTCTACACCGATTTACATTCCAGTCCATCACTATACATAGCTACATCGTCGGTTCTAAAAAAACCACAACCGTTTTATATGTCACCGTATCTGTTTCAAATGACACCACAACCGATTTAGACGCCACCGCAACCGATTCATATGCTTCCACCATAGGGTTTTATGATACCTCCTGGCAGATATTATATTGGCATGCTTATAGATCCAACATGGGCTTATTATGATGTTTATTTGGCGGGTAGTTATTCAACACGGACACAGACACCTCCAGCTCAATATGGATCACAATAATCCATATCGATATTTTTATAGTTTTCTACGAGGGGTGAGATGGTTAGTCATACACCTCCAGGGTCTTTATTCTATAGAGGTGTTATATCGTCATTTATCCCTCATTAACAAAATGTAGTTGCTACTGATGATGATGATGAGAATGAGGAGAAATAGCAAGTTATACAAATAAACCCTCATCGAAATAGACAACTATCGTCATGTGAAACACATTCAAGACACATACATTGATAAACTTGTTTAGTTTGTAATATTTTTATCTAATTTTCTTTGTTTATCAGCAAATGTATTGAATTATGGACTTCTTATTTATTTTGTTTCTTAATGTTGTTATTATTTAATTGTTTGAATTGTAACATTTGTATTTAATGTTTCTGTTTAATTATTTTTACTTTTTAGTTTGTAATGTTTTTATTTGATTTTCACTTGAATAACCCATTACTTGTTGATGCTCAAATGAAATTAACTGAAAGTAAAAAATAAAATAACACAAACTGAGATTTCAGAAACTACAATTACATTGTGATGCTCAACGGTTACGCGATGATAAAAGAGATAAACATTTTTCCTATTGTGGCCTAGGTTTCTACAATTCATACATCTTTTGTTTTCTTTGGACATCTCTCAAATATCTATTGTCAACACTGCAATAGCTATATGGGAGCTTGATTTGACCATGAGCATGTTAGCTTAACAGATAATATCGAAGTCCAAGTTGGGATAATATTGGTTGATCCTTCTAGCACAACATGTATGAGGACTATTATATACGATTAGTTCCTATATATTGTTTT